TGTTTCTCAACCTTGGCAACTTTAAGATATGTGGACTTCAACTCCCAGAACTCCCCAGCCAACAGGACCCCATTCTGGAGCTAGGAAAGTAGGGAAAAAATTCATTCTGGCCATTGTGGTACTCCCCAAGAAGTTCCAAATATTGGAAGCTGTTATGAAAATACAACCTAGACCTTCCCTTCCAGTTGGAACTGGAATTTGCCCCTTATGTATGTATGTATGTATGTATGTATGTATTTGATTTATCTCCACCCATCTCCCCCTAATGGGGGACTCTGGGTGGCTCACAAGATCGGTTAAAACAATAAATGTATACAAAATTACATAAAACATGAAAAGCATTACCAAAAGAAAAAAGAAAGTCCAAGAGGCTGTGGTTCCAGAGCCGCAGATGACAGGCCTCTAAGGGGCTAGCCATGCCCACGCTTGGCGTCTTCCCTCCCCATCCCAAGTCAAATCACCAGATTATTTGTACTGTTTCATAATTTAGCAGGACAACTTTTCCAAAATGAGAAATTTGGAAATTTTATTTTTAAAAAATTATTTCCAAAATCTAAATGTAGCATAATTTTCTACTGATAGGAAATGGCTGAGAGAAAAGATTTGCAAAAGAGTATCAGGTCATCTTCTGTTCCACCTTCCTATAAAACCAAAACAAACAAACAAAGTTTTCAGAGAGATAGTGTGACTTAATCAGCACCAAAACAATAGAGTTTAGGTACTGTAAAGACTAATAACTTCATTATTTAATCAATATAGGCCACAGACCATTTCTTTAGATGGAATTGATTAGATTCAATTCATCATGCTTACCTGAAACTGGTGTACCAGATGGCCTTCCATTGTTCCTCTGCTGCTTGCATTTCTCCTCTTCAGTGCTATCAGTACAGTCTTATTTTTTTTAGATCTGTGTGCTGATTGGGATTGCCCATGCCTTAGTCATCTACCGGGTTGTGGCGACAATAATCTTTACTCAGTCTAACTCAGAATTCCTTCAAGAGCGAGCCACTACGGTGGCAGTCCTGACAGGTGCAGTGTTGCACTACTTGAGCATCGTCATTATGAACAAGGTACAGAGTCATACTTGCCACTTATTTTGCAGCTGTCTGTTTTGCAGGTGCTCTGCACTTGTATAATTTATATTTCTATTGCAGGTGAACAGGCATGTTGCACTGTTTCTCTGTGATCTAGGTAAGAAACACCCAATTCTGTGTGCACTCATCCTTCTACTTGAAATATATATGTACTGAATGACTGTAGAGCAGCTTGTCCTAACCTGTGCTGCCCAGCTCTTTTGGACTGTAACTTCTGTGGCTCAAGACAGGATAAAAGGATGTTCCATGCTGCATGAGAAATGCTTTCTTGAAACTGAGTAAGGCATGCATGATCAGATCAGATGTTCCAAGGTCAGATGTTCCAAGGACTCTAGCTGAGTGCAGTTTTGTACCTTTATTTCCAGAGAAACCAAGATCATTCAGCGAGCAAGAGAAAAACTATACAATTAAAGTCTTCACCTTCCAGTTCTTCACCCATTTCTCTTCTCTGATCTACATTGCTTTCTTCCTAGGGAGGTAAACAGTAAGTAGTAAACTTGGGAGAGTTAGGTATTGGGCAACTGCAAGTGTTAGAGCTGAATCTCAAGATCTGAGTTTCAGTTAAAACTTTGCCGCATTTTTTTCTGTAAAATGATTTGTAAAATGGGAATAAGGATGATCCTTTCCTAAAGTTTGTTGGAACTTTACATATAGATTGGAGGTCTCTTTGCTGTTAGAAACAATTTTCATCCAGTATCCAACCTTCCTTTTTTAGGGAAGGTTATTAAGAAAGTGATCATGCAGCAGCTTTAGCAGATCCTGGATGAAGCAGATAATCTGGACTCCTTTCAATTGGGTTTCAGACCTGAGCATGGGACTGAAACAGCATTGGTTATGTTTTTGGATGACCTCTGGTGGGAGCAGGATGGGGGTAGTGCATCCATCCTTGCAGTACTTGACTTCTCGGCAGATTTCATTACCATTGACCATAGTATCTTTCTGGACTGGCTGTGGGAGTTGGGGATGGGCCACACTGTATTATGCTGCTTCTCTTCCTTCCTCTCTGGCCAGTTCTAGTTGGTATTGATCTGGAGCGAGAGGTTCCACCCTCGGGCCCTACTGTGTGGGGGTTCACAGGGTTTGGTACTCTCTCCACTCCTGTTTAACATCTACACAAGACCATTGAGAATGGTCATCCAGTGGCATGGGGTGTGGTATCAATATGCTGATGATATCCAGCTGTACAACTCCACCTCTGGTGAATTAAGCAGTGCTGTTGATGTCTTGTCTCAATGTTTGGAGGCTGTGGGGGTTTGGATGGGGAATAACATGCTTCAGCACAATCCTGGCAAGACTGAGTGGCTTTGGGTTTGGGCACGTATCATCTCTGATGGTAACTTACCATCTTTGGTAAGGGATTGGTGGAATTTTCCCAAACAGACCCTGTACACAATCTGGAGGTCCTTCTGAACTCACAACTCTTGCTCAAGGAGCAAGTGGCAGTCATGTCTTGGAGGACCTTTGTGCAACTTTGGATTGTGCACTATTTGCACCCATTCCTGGATCAGGAGGCTCTACTCTCTGTCACTCGTGCCCAGATGGATTAGTGTAATGAGCTGTACATGGGGCTGCCCTTGAAGAGCATCTGGAAGCTGCAACTGATGCAATATGTGGCAGTGTGGGCAATTATGTGTGCTCTAAGATCAGCAGACATTACATCTCTGCTCTGCAAGCTGCACTGGTTGCCAGTTTGCTTCTGGGTTCAATTCAAGGTGCTGGTTGTGACCTATAAAGCCCCACATAGTATGGGCCCAGGTTATTTGAGGGACTGTCTCTCCCCAATTACATATAACCATCCCATCAGGTCCAGCAGAAGGGGCATGTTATAGGTCCCATCTACTAAGGAGTTTCACCTGATGGGACCCAGGAAGAAAGCGTTTTCTGCCATGGCACCTGCCCTCTGAAACATCATCCCCCATGAAGTTAGATTGGCCCTGACCCTGTTGGCCTTTTGGAAGGCCCTGAAGACGTGGATTTGCCATCATGCCTGGGGATCCTGTGGAAGTATGGAGCCTGTGAGATGGTTGTATTGTTTGTAAGCTGCTGGTTGGCTCTCTCCTGTGTTTATGTTTTATGGTTAATTGTTTTAATTGTTTTTTAACTTATTTTATTGTTTTTTTTGTTACTCTTGTTTTTGGTCATTTATATGTGCTTTGTTTTTTGTTATTTTAATTCTGTGACTGTTAACTCAGCTATATAAATTGAATGAATGAGCAAGCAAGCAAGCAACATGGATGGTGTATATTTCTGCTGGGAAGGAGAAGAGGTTGGATTAAGTGTAGTGCGTTACACACAGTTGTTTATGGTTTAGATCATCATTGGCACAGCTGATATAGGATATGATATAGGATTCCTTTCCTCATTTCTTTGTTTATCCATGCCCTTTGTAGATATGACTCTAGTTTTTGATGTTTGAGGTACTGTTTTTTTAACTCTACTGAAATTCTTTACATCTATCATTTTGCACATGATGTTGATCAAAACTGTCATTAGGATTAACAATTGTATTTTAATCTCACTTGTTTATTAGGATTAATGGCCGTCCAGGGTCTTATGTACGTGTGGCTGGCAAATGGAGACTGGAAGAAGTAAGTTACTTTACCACAATAATCCCTTTTATCTCTCTTTATCTCCTATTAATTTAGTCTCTCTGGCCTTTTCATTCATATCCTAGCAGATTGGGGTGGTTTAAATCTTGATACCAGATGGAGGTTAACTATTCTGTTGCTTAAATCTCACGATAACTTTTGCCTTGCACCCTGAAATTTCTATTAAAAAATCACCAGAAAGTTGCAGGAGGTATCCTAATACATGTGTTCATGACAGTAATGGGTAGGTGTGGATGCGAGATGCATAAGACAAGTTCAGATCACCCACTTAGCTGTGGAAGTAGTAGTTGTGGAAGTAATTGGGTTGATCACTCTCTCTCAATATAATGTTTTGTCAGATGATTTGTGAGAGGATAAAATGGGTAGTGGAGAAAAAAGGACCTTGTATGCCACTTTGAGCTCTTGAAAGGGAAAGCCAGATAAAAATGTAAAAAATATGGAGACACGCACCATTTTCTGGCCTTTTGCAGAGCGAGAGTACCAAAAATGACACTAGAAGCAGCCTTTAGTTACAAAACATTCCTTTTTTTTTTTTTGCTTTTTCTAGTGTCATCCTAGCGGCTGCATTACAGACCTTTTCATTCAGATGGCTGTCATTATGATATTAAAGCAAACCTTGAGCAACCTTGTGGAGTACCTGCTTCCGTAAGTAGATCAAATCCAGCTCCCTCTTTTTTCCAGATCATTGCGCAGTTACAGCTCAAGTGAAACTACTGTATGTGTGCAATAATAATTTCAGTTCTGGGAAAAGAAATGATGAATTGTGCTTCTTCCTTGGCTTCGGGGCAAGGAAGGAGTTTTGTTCTTTCAAACCAGGTTGCCTAATATCTAGGAATCTGGGTGGAGTTTCTCTTCTTTTGGAAAACATGGTTCAGTCCATATGCTTATATCATCTAACTCTGGGATAGGACATCCTGCAATGGAATTCCCTCTGCCTGTGACATGTTGTCTGCATTTTTATATGAAACAGTTGGAGAACCATTAGATGAAGGATGCTCTCTTGGAGTTGGGGACTGTAGAATAATAACATTCTGTTCTCTTTTTTTTTTTTTACTCTTGTGATTCTGCTCCCAGGCATGCCTGTGACAGCTCTGCATAAGCAGTTGGAAGTAGGGAGTGAGGGTGAGGGCTTCATTCACGTGCCTGTGCTTAAGGGCTTGTACACATGGTTGCAACAATTTGCCTCATTGTGGGAATCCTATTTGAGGGCATCTCGATCTTATAAACTGCAGTCATCATATCACAAATATTCCTTGTGTTAAAATCAGGCAGCTTCTGCACTTTTTAAAAAACTTTTTGTTTCCAGCAGCCAGAGGGCAGTGCGGTGACATAATGATGATGTTCAGGGCTGCTGCTTTCTGCAGGATTTTGATTACTTTGGGGGAGTAGGCACAGTTTTTGTTTGCTTTGCAGTGGAAAGGTGTATTAAAGCTATCTGAAACTTAAACCATCTGATTTCTTTCTTCTTCCAATGCAGTTTGATTGGAAATATATTGTCAGATTTCAGCTGACAACTGAAATCTCTCTGGGGCTTTGAGGACCACAACATGGTTCCTGCTCTGGTGATCGCCCAGCTCATCACATATAGAGAAGCAAGTTTTTAGGAACTGCCCCACTTCTTGAATGGAACACAGCCAGTTATTTTCCAAGAGTTCCTACATTATACAGAAGAGGCATGGTGCAGGTCCCATCTACAAAAGAGTTCCATCTGATGGGACCCAGAGGAGAGCCTCTTCTGCTGTGGCACCCACCCTTTGCAACATCATCCCCCCTGAGGTTAGATTGGCTCCAACCTAACTGTGCCATCAAGCCTGGAGATCCTGTGGACATGGGGAGCCTACAAGATAGCTATATTGTCTGTGAGCTTTAGGTTGGCACGCTCCTGCACTTTTTAAAAATGTTTCTGGTTAATTGGTTTAATGTTTTAAATTTTATTTATGTGAGTTTGTTTTTGCTTTTTTTTAACTTGTGAGGCACCCAGAGTCATGTAAGTGAGATGGGTGGCTATATAAATTGAAATACATACATACATACTAAGGGAACAGAAGTGTTACCTCCAATGTGAATCAAGCCTGTGAAGAACTGGTCTCTTTGCAGAAACATTCAAATGACTATTTGGAGAGAGATCTGTGAAGTGTTCAGAGCATAGATATTCTAAGCCTTTATAAAAAAATACTATTTATCAAAGAATTGTGAAAAGGAAAGGCAACCTTGTTACCTGAGGATTTTGGAAGGTGGAAGTTGTGGCCCCACATTTGGGGAAGGCATCAGGTTGTGGGAAGGGTGGACTATGCTTACTGTTAGCATCTTTAAGAGTGTATATTCATGAGCACCTTGACAGCCCACAGATGCCTTCTTTTGAATCTTGCCTTCCTTAATGTTACACGTTTGCCCCTTCAGCTGGATAACCTACAAGTGCCGTCTGCTGTGCAAAAAGCCCCCAAGGATTAACATGGAACAGATGTCCCAGGACCTGTGCAAGGAGGAATGGTTATGGAACTATCGGCTCAATGAAGTCAATGCCTTCACTTTGTTTGATGAATATATGGAGATGAGTAAGTGAAATTCAGTGGAAAGGCTCACACGATGCTGAATTATAAGGCTCAGCAAAGATGGAATTCAGCAACCTGCCAGGGTGGTCCCACTAGGATTAGAGCACTGGCTGTTTTGTCAGTCAAGTCTATGTGAGGTTTTGAGGAATGTGAAAATGGAATACTATAGCAGTATTGTTGCATTGCCTTCAGTTCCTCTTACCACCAATTATTTGAAAGAAATATGTTCTTGATCACAGCGAGAATGTTAACATCTGAATCCAATTTGTATATCCTCCGTGCAGTTAAGAAAAGCAATGGAAACTTTCCAACAGTATTGGATGCTAATTTCCCCAACTGTTTTGCCATGGGGCAAACTTAGTTGAGGCTGATAGAACCTGAAATACTAAACTTCTGAATGGCACAGATTGCTGTTGTTTCAAGAAAAGCTAAATTCTGAAAAATTCTCCTGATTTGCCAATTGCACATAATATTCTATTCATGCCGGCCAATTCTGGTAACTGTGTTTAGAGTTCTTTTGGGTAGTTGACACCCACTTCTGGTTAATTTGAATCTTCATATAAAGTCTTACATCTCACTATCTTTGATATTTTTCTTAAACTACTTTCAGGTTACAATGCTCATTTCTTCGTTTTTGGTGATTATAGCAATTCTTATATCCTGAAGGTTGATTTTGTAAATTTTTTACACTAGGAAATGGTCCCATCTACTGTTCATTTTGTGACATTTTTTTAGTGACATGTTGAATATTAATGAACATTCTCTGAGTTGTGTTGTGGTTAAATACAGTGGTACCTCTAGTTACGAACTTAATCCGTTCCATGACTCTGGTTGCAACTCG